TAAATGAATATGATTGGCCAATCTTACATTAATTAATCACGTGCAGTTTGAAAAGTCAGCGTTTGAACTAAACTATACTAAGATTAACTTTGATTTAAATAAAGTTTTATTTTTTTTTTCGCAGCTTTCTTTTTGTGCAATATTAACTCTAAAACTTCAGCACCTCATTTTTTTTCAATGAAAAAAATGACCTGGCTCCTAATTTTTATGTTAAAATTTTTAATTTTTATTGGTGCATAATTGCATACCTTTTATAAAAAGGGGTAAGAAAAAAAAAATGTAAATCAAACTTCATCTATGGGACGTTAGTCAAAGCAAAAAAAACATTTAATAAAAGTATCTTTAAGAAATAAGCCGATTATTGTCGAAGATTCTCTATTTGAAGAGGATTTGTCATCTGAGGAGGGTTCTTCATTCGATAAAAATTCTGAAATATCTTCTGATGATGAGATTATGTAAGCGGATTCCGAACTTGATAATGAACCTGAAAATACGTTAAAAAAGCTGTTTCTGATACAAAAAATATTAAATCTAAATGGCCACTTCAATATATAGGTAACAGTATCCAAACTCAAAAAAGACGCAAAGCAGCCGCAAAGAAAATGGCTATACAAAATGGCAATACTATTACGCAATTTTTTCTTCCTGTACAAAATGAACCTGATACACAAACAGATGATACTCATTCAAATGAATTGGAAGGTCATGATGATATCAATTCATCATCCACGGGGTCAGAAATAGAGAGTGATAATGAAATTGAATTAATAAAGTTAATTCCTTTTATAGAAAAAAAACTTCAAGATGAAATTCTATTACCTTAACAAAAATGGCGATTAGGAGCTGTACTTCAATATTGTTGATGCTGTCAATTAAATATCAAAAAAATGGAAGCCAGCCTTTTTGTTGTACAACAATTAGGTAAAAATGAATATTTTGCTTGTCAACTTCGAAAGTGGACTCATATGTTAGCACAAAATCAAGAAATTCCTATTTCAATGTGTGGGAAACATATTAAAGTTAAAAGTCTTCTTGATGATGAAGACATACGTCATGAAATTGTTAACTATTTATGAATAAATAAATTTGAATTTTATTTATCAGATTTTATTAACTATATATCAAATAATATATTTCCAAAATTAAGCATT